TGAGGGGAGACCTGATCGCTCTCTACAACGACCTGAAAGGAGGTTGCAGTGAGGTGGGGCTTGGTCTCTTCTCCCAAGTAACCACCGATAGGACAAGAGGAAATGGCCTCAAGTTGCACCAGAGGATATTTAGATTGGATATTAGGAAGAATTTCTTCACCGAAAGGGTTGTCAGGCACTGGAACAGGCTGCCCAGAGAAGTGGTAGAGTCCCCATCCCTGGAGGCATTTAAAAGACGTGTAGATGTGGTGCATTGGGACGTGGCTTAGTGGTAGACTTGGCAGTGTTAGGTTAACAGTTGGACTTGATGATCTTAAACCAACCTAAACGATTCTGTGATTCTAAGTTTCACAAGAAAATGGGAAAAAAATATTAACTGGAGAAATTTATATGTAGTTGACACCTGCTTGCAGCCTACAGTCAGATGGGTAAGGTAATGTGCTGGGGGTATCCAGAAGAAATCGGGTAATTCGCTAATGCTGGAGAAGTCAAGTAAATAAAGACCCATGAAAAAAGTATCAGCAAAATGAAATGGGAATGGCGGACTTGCAGTCATGCTGTGATAGCAGTCTGTTATGTTCCTAAAATAATGCTATCTCCAGGTTTGTTTTTGTGGTAGGTGTCATTTTAAAGTGTTGTTTCCATGCATGTTACCTTTGAATGTTGGTTTTGGACAAATCCACATACAGTGTTCACCAGTGACATATGCAAGTGGGATAGATTAAACGTAATATTGAGACCTTTTGTTTTCCTGTGACAAAGATAGTGTATTTTGGCAGTAGTTATTGCAAGTCAAAAGCCAAATCAAATGACTACTTGACGATTAGTTTTTATCTTAACTAAAAGATTTTTTCAGAAATTACTGCCTAAAATGTTAAAATTTGTTATGCTTATTTCTTAAGAATTTATGGTAGGTACATTTTAAATTCATGAGATGTTGCTGTTTTAGAGGTTATAGTAGTTTTTATGCAAGATCGACTATAATATTGAGTCAAAATTCTTAAATGTTGATGCACAAGCGTAAAGCATTATTTGATCTTATGTGAGATAAAGTTAATAGAGGTTTTGATGAAAGGGTTAACTTTGATTGTAGAAATAATTTTTTTAGATATTACAGACAGCTGCCTTTTCTCTTTCCTTGTAACTTTTTCTTAGTGCCAAAATAGTAGTTCATCTTCATCCTGCTTCTTCAAACAAAGAACCTGGTCCATTCCAAAGCAGCAAATATTCCTACATCAAACTTTCTTTCAAAGAACATGGGCAGATTGAGGTAAGTTTTGTACCATGCAAGCCCAACACATCAGATCTTTGGACATGCTTTTCTCTTCTTGCTGCATTAGTGATAATTTTCCATGATCTTTCCATGTTTGCTTTTGAGGTGGAGCTTTTTCAGTACATCCTTTTTGAAGACAAATTCTGTGAGCCTTCAGGGTTCTGTACTTTGGTTAAATAATGCAAAAAAGTTCCAAAAATGTCAAGAGGCATTATTAGGCTTTGTCCTTATTTTAGTAGTTTTAATATAATCCTATGCTTCCTTTTATTAATCTTGTAATTTGAACACAGGATTTTCCGGAATGTCTCTGAAATCTTTCAAATGTTTAACAGAGTGAAAACCGTTTCTTTTTAGCTAACTATTGAAAAGGCATCAAGCAACTTATTCCTAATCATCTCTCTGATTTTATTGCTGAACATTTTTTGTTGCCTCAGAGCTTTGTTTCATTTTATGTTTTATAAGTCTTTATTTTTTTCTACTTACACCAAATCTCAAAGGCTTTGAGTGTGCTAAAGAAACGTAATATATTTTTAAAAGAAAGCTTATCCTAAAAAACAAAGAAATTGCACTCTGTAAAGAAATTTCACAGTATAAGATCCTCACTTGAAGAGACCAAGAACTTTAACTTTGAATGATGAAAAAAGCCATCCCTGTTCACTGCAGAAAATCAGATTTTCAACTTGAATTAGTTATAAATGTCTTAGAAATGCATGTGTTTGATCAGACTTACTTTCATTTCTTTGTGAGCAGTTTTCAGCATAGGACAAGTGTAGATTTATGCCTAGTTGTAATTGTGTAGGTGTTTTGCCTAATTGTAACTTTATTTATTTTAATGTTAATGTTCACGCCTGAAAATCAGGCTTACTATGCTTACTGGTTACGTAGCATATCAATTACGCTCCAGATCTTTTCTTTATGGCTTCAGAATGCTTTCCTGTGAACTCTGAACAACCATAAGAATGGAATAGATTTTCTTTCTGGATTTTGGTCAGTAGGATACACGTACCATTAACTAATTAACTAATGCTACCTTCTGGTATTAGCAATAAACAAATAAGTGTAATTGATCTGTGTGTTTGTCTTTATATTGTTGAATTAACAGATCAATAGTAATTGGATTGTTCAGCTTTCCTTCCTTTTATAAGCATGCCTTTGAGCAAACCTGGACATTTTTAACTTTAGCATGTTTTGGAACATTTTTAATATCTGAAAAAAATATTTTACAATAGAAGTACTCATGCGAGATTAAGTAGTACCTACATGCATGGTTCCTCCTTAATGTGTATATTTTTGAAGACGGGACATTCACAATTTCCAGATAATGAATATTGTACTGTGGATGTATAGGTGTTACCATGCTTTGTCTTACAGTGAAGTTTATTTCATCTACCACCAAGATGCTAAAAATACCCAGAGGTACTCTGCACAGTTTATGAAAAGTCTGTTGTCATTCTTTAATGTTTGCAGTTCTATAGACGATTATCAGAAGAAATCACACAAAGGAGATGGGAGAACATGCCTACTGGTCAGACCATTCAAGTTAACAAGGATCCACAGGTATGTGCAGAGCTTCTGAGCACAATCTGTATGTAATTTCTTGTTTCCTCTTCTTGCTGCTCCCATATGCTACATCTGGCGCACCTCTCTAACCAACACCATGGGTACATGTGGGAATTCAGCTTTACTTTGCCTGTTTCTGCACTGGCATAAATTAGTTTCTCCTTTGCAGTTTTCATCTGGTAGGAAACACTGTGGCCTCTCTTCATTGAGTGTGTTTAGATTTGAATAGTTCATAATGAGCTCCATTTTTTTTTTTTTTAGTCAGATACACACACACATAATCATGCGAATATTATATATATATTTGCAAGTAGTTTTATTCAGCATGAGAGATCTAATGAAGCTGAAAGATCTTTGGTCTTAATTGTGATTCGTGTTTTATTTTTTGCGGTTGGAAGTCAAATATATAATGTAACTTTTATATAACTCTTTGGAACCTATATATGTTTGATTTAAATGTGTATTCTAAATGGACAGTTGTTACGGAGAATCTCTTTGTCATATATTAGATTGCCTTCTTTATCTGTCTGCATACCTCTAGGTTATAAACTCTGATAAACATGTAGAAGTTGTTTCTGTATATGAATATGTTGAATATATGAATATAGTACTATATGAATTGAATAGGATGATTTAAAATTTGTTCAATGTCAAATCACGTATATGTCCTCCTTTGTAAGTGTAGTACCTATAAACATAGTTGCATTTCGACTAATGGGGAAGCCTGTACCCTGTGTCAAGAATCACTTAATGAAAATGCCTTACCACCTGTTCTTATTAAGTCGTAGGAAATCATTAACACCAGTGCTAAGCTTTGCAGTCAGGGATTTGAGGGTTGGCACCACTGCCACTTAGGTACCGGCCTTTCTAAAACACATTTGGCATCAGATGAAGTGTTCACCATCACCTCCATTCTGATACTTCTCAGCAAGGTAAATTAGACCGCACTTAGCATTGTGTTTCTGTGACTGTGTTTCTTCAGGCTAGATTTCTTGAGATAATGATGTTTAAATACACTCACGCCTTTCCACAGCTCTAGTATAGATGTTCACATGGACTCAGGAGGCTTTAATTGAGATGAGCTGGAACGCTCAGCCTGGATTAAGCATCTTCATATTAATAGCTTCAATATAATAATATTATTATCTGTCTACTACAGCAAATTGGTACAGGCTTTACACTTATTGTTTATTTTTTTACAGTGATTTAAAAAGTACTTTCAAGAAAGATATGAAATATTGTATGCATGATACCAGCTCTTTGGGGGAACGTTTCCTGTCTTCTAATGTAAGGTTTTTCACCGTGCGGCGGATGAGAAAACTTAGCATTTCCTATTTTGATTCCTTTCATTATTTTCTTTTGCAGGCAGGAAGAATAAGGGCTGTAGGAATTGTGGGGATCGAAAGGAAATTAGAGGAAAAAAGAAAAGAGACCGACAAAAACATTTCTGAGGTAAATACTACTGAAGTTTCAAGGTCAGCCACCTGTCTGAGCTGTTTACATTCATTCACACTTTCTTTTACAGGCAGCTGAGACTATTTATTGTTTTTGTTGAGAAGTCTGAATTGATTAAAAGTGTATAATTTACAGTTAGTTACTTTGCTTCACTAGCTTTTTGGTATATATAAAGGTACTTCATTTAAACAGTTCCTTTCAAGAAGATTGTTCTTTGAAGCTAACGGTGTGTATTTATAAAATTAATTTTGGTAGAATTAGAAGTCTTGAGTTCAGAGACTTCATCAGGGGAAGCAGAACACAAAGGCATCTGCAGAAAGAGACTATTACAAGTTTGAGGGTTTTTTCCTTCCTCTTTTTTTTTACAGCTAATTTTGGTTTCAATTGAAAATTTAATATATATTAAGAAAAATACCCTGATCCAAGTGTCTGTGGTAAAGTTAGGTTTTCGTCTTATAAATATTCAGTTTTTAAATGTTAGATTTAGGCTTAGAATTACAGTAAAATCTTCTGCAGTCCAGGCGTCAGCAAGATGTTACAAGTATCTTTGCGAAATACCTGGGCTAGATGGAGACCATTCTTTTCCCCAGAAACAGCACAATAGTTCAATTCCAGGTATCAATACCTTTGGACAACAGAGGCAATTAATTTCTTCATATATGCCTAGGAGCAATATCCTCAAAAATAGTCTGGTTCTGTCTCGGAAGTAGAGATTAATACAGAAGAACTCATAAACTACATGCAACAGATTCGTTCTTGTGGCAAAGCTTTATGGGATTCAGTGTGCCACAATAAAAAAGGCATTCACTGCTCTGATACAGAAGAAAATTATAGTACCTTTGCAGGCCACATGCTGTTTCAGATTCTGGTAGCATTAAACTTTTTCCTTTCTGTTTATGAGGAACGTAATGAATGAAGTTCTGTGTCTAGTTCAAAAGGTATTGTGGTTACATGCCTGTGTATGTAGTTCAAAAGGTATTGTCTGGTTATTTTTTCCTTTAGTAGCTTTGTCGGAGAGTAAAAGAAATCCATTTATACATGTTGTATGAACGGAGGAAAACCATGACTTGTAAAATCCTGCCTTCCTCCAGCTTTAAATGTTATAAATGACTTAATTTAAAAAATGGTGCCCTGGCTTCCAGGAAAAGGCTTCCTGCATCTGCTGTTCACTGCTGATAAGAATCCAGTTCTTTAGCCTTTTGTTTATCTGAGGAAGTTCCTGTTAGGTGTGTGCACATTCCCCTTTGTTTCCAGGCCTGCCCTCTGTGAGTCAGGCAGAGGAGGAGTTAGACACAGTATGCTGTTTATTTAGCTAAATCAAGGGTTCTTTTGATGGATGATGTTTTCATGCAGGGTAGAGAGATTAGAAATAAGCTGGGAAAAGCCTTGTTAGAAAACTTTTTGTCGATATCTTATACAAGTAGAGTAGAAGGACTTTGATTTACACTAGAGATTGGGAAATCTATTGTAAATTACTGAATTTGGCAAATTAGGAAGTTAGAAGAGATATTCCAAAGAGAAGCTTTTGTTCTGATAGTGCTAGATTATTGTTATAGAGTAGTATATTTTCTTTTCTCCCCTTGGACCTAGCTTTTTCCCACTTAATTTTGGATACCTAATTTAGGTACCAAGTGTTAAGAGGCTAGACTTCTCCAGTCTGGAGAAACGCTGGCACCATTAGGAGGGGTTCAGATGGAAAGCAAACCCTGTCCCTTCCTGGAGGCATCTCCTTCTCTTCTTTGCATGTTGAATCTCAGAGAAATAAGCTTCTAAGTAAGGTGCCTAAATGTAGATCGGGAAAAATTGGGTCTTCCCGTGCAAATTTTGCTGAAATGCATCTTTCTAGTGGGCAATTAGTCAGGATGAGGTAGGAATCACGTAGAAGCAATGGCTAGAAGCTGTAGGCAAGATGCATCTCTGGTCATTTGATGTATTCTAACTGAACAACCTTCTTTACTTGTGGCTGGAGGGGTTGGGTGCTGCAGTCAGGCAAGCTTTAGCTGAAAAGGTTCCGGAATTTTTCTCGCACCTGTTGTTCTAAAAAGGTTGTTTGTAAAGGTTGACCACCTGGGCATGTTGTCATGTATTTGAGAGAAGCGGGTCAGAAGGCTGAACGCGCGTTGCTGAGGATGGGAGAAATGAGAGTTGCTTTTTAATGTAGTTGCGAACACTTCCCTTTTTTTGCACTAATTTTTTAATGCTAGTTGGTTATTACAAAAACTTTTCAATTTCAGTATACCTTCAGCTTTTTTTAAAGTATGTTTTATTTAAACCTAAAAATGCCCTTTGTGGGTTGTTGTAGAATTGTTGTATTTGAGACCATAGCAGTTTACTAAGCTTAATACACTTGATATAATTGTGGTCCTATGATGGATGTCCAGTTTATTACATATTTTTTTTGTGGAAACAAACTAAAAGGTTTCTTAGAGTAGAAAAAAAATTGTTTTGTACAAATAATTTTTTCCCTTGCTCTAGCGGGTATTTTGGTTTTTAGGTCCAACAACTAGAGTTTTCAGAGGATACATTTTATCTAGTTTCTATCTTAATTTATATAAGTCTGATAATTTGTCTCGTGGACTTTATTTCATTCATTTTTTAAACTGTTTTTTGTTTATTATGGTAGCACCACTGTTCCTCTGTGTGCAATACTTAAGTGAAGAGATGTTGCCACACATGTTCAGAGGTTTTGTCTCTTCAGTTAAGCATACATGTGAAAGCATATACCCTCTTCCTTGCTCATTTGAAATGGCTGTTTCTGACTTACTTAGTAACATCTACTGATTTAAAGTAAAATTGTCTTGTCAGGAGGAGCGTTTCTGTAGATTTACAGCTGGCTTGCTGCTGGCCAGAAACAATAGATCTCCTTGCATGAAGGTTAACTGTTGGAGAAAACCTACCATCACCACCGAGAAACCTTACCCCAACTTTTTAGGAGAGCATAATAAACTTGGACAGTTTAATCTTTTCTGGGCTTCAGTATCTCATTGTTTCTTCCTGTCATATGGACTTCATAAATCGTATTGAACTAGTGTTCACATACTAGAAAAGTGTGTGATTGATTCTTTTCTCCATTCTTTGTTGCTTATGGATTGTATAACTTTGATTTTAAGACCTGATATAAAACAGATATATCAACCAATTATATATAATATCTCATATTGTAGCATACTAATCTAAAGTGATAGCAGCTCTTACGAATAGCTTGGATAGGTGGACAAAGCAGCTTGCTGTATCCATGAAGCTGAACGCTGTTATACTGATCTGCAGTGTCTGCTTTTCATTTCAGGCTTTTGAGGATCTTAGCAAACTTATGGAGAAGGTATGGCATGTGTCACTTATGTAGTAGACTTATGTTTGTTTTCTCAGTTTTAAGCATGCTTTTCTCTGTTGAGCTGAAAGTTGACTTATCTATGTGGTCCTTGATAGGCTAAGGAAATGGTGGAGTTATCCAAGTCGATAGCTAATAAGATTAAAGAAAAACAAGGTGACATCACTGAGGATGAGGTAAATGAATTTTGTTTTTAAAGTCAACACAAATGTTCCTATGCAAAGCAAAAAGCTATCCGTTTAAGACGTGTAATGTTAATAAAGAACACTTCATGCTTGGGGATTTTGTGGTTTAATTCTACATGAAGTAAAAGTTGGTTACTTGTTCAGTGTTAGCTATTCTTTTGACCTTTTCTTAAAAGCAAAGATTTTATTGCTTTTGTGTAAATTTTTCTATTTTTGACATCTGCTGGTCAAAAATAAATTGTATTGAGTCTTGCCTTCTCTTTGCTAGTAATTGACTTTATTGGTAGTAAACTGAATGGATTTATTCACCAGAACTGTCTTACAGTAATAGAAGACTTTTAAAAGCTAGAATCATTCACAAGCTCAGGTACTTTTAAATTTATTTATTTATTTGTTTAGACTATTAGGTTCAAGTCTTATCTACTGAGTATGGGTATAGCTAATCCAGTTACTAGGGAAACATATGGATCTGGTACACATTACCACATGCAACTGGCGAAGCAACTAGCTGGAATACTGCAGACACCATTAGAGGTAAAGCACCTAATTTTGCACCAGCATTTTCCATGTGTTGCTGAATTTTGATGTAAATGTGTTTTGGCTGTAGTACTGTGATCCTTTTTAAAGTGTCAGATTTAGCAGCAGAGTCTCATATTAAATGTTTATGGAGGGAATATATATCATAAAATCAGAATGCTTTGGGTTGGAAGGAACTTTAAAGATCTCTTCCTCTTTCTGAATAAGAAAGTTTAAAGGTAAGTAAGAATTTTTCTTTGGAGTAATGGCATCTCAACTCTGAATTTGTGAAATATCAGTGATATTTAGCAAATTATACTAGCAGTCTGTCTTCTATTTGAATAGCCCTGTATTCATCCCTTGCTGCAGAATACTACTTTTTAAAAGAAAGAGTGAAATAATGCTGACTTTGAAAATATAAGTAGTCAGTCTTTAAACTGCTTAAAAATTACATATTTTGCAAATATAGCACAGAGTCATTACATAGATTACCCCCCTCTTAGTAATATCTCATATTTTAATTTATCTGAACCTATTACAGAATTCAGGATTCTCACCAAAAAGTTAGATCTCATGTTGCAACTTACAAGGCTACGTGTCTACTAAAAAGCATACATATTACAGTATTTTTGTGAAAGCTGTGTGCTACCTACTGTGATCAAAATGGAAAACTGAGTGGGTCTGAAAAGTAAAAACAGTAAATTGATTGATGGATTTAATATATTGAAATTTCTTGTTCCTGTGATTTATTTTCTGCTTTAAAATCAAAGTAATTCACAGTCTTTGGATGTAGCATCAATGTTTTGTGTTTTAAAATTATTAGAGAAAGATGTAACACAACAACTGACCTTTCATGCTAGAAATATGTGGTATTGCACGGGTAGTTTTTTTTGTTAAGGCTCATCATTTAGCTCCGCTGTTTTACCTGTTTAATCAGTCAAATGCAAGTTGAGATACTGTGTTTACTAGATTAATGCTGTTTCTCTTACCAGTCTTGTGCTTAACACAGGAGCGAGGAGGGATCATGTCACTTACGGAAGTGTACTGTCTGGTAAATCGTGCACGAGGATTAGAGGTGAGAAATTGGTTTTATTAAATATTTTATAAAATGTACTTCAGTGATAAGGTAATTAAAGAAAAAGAGTAAAAATGTTCCCTGCCAATTGCTGACTCTACCTGTCTAATACCATGAAGTGATCAACCCTTTATTAAAATTAGGGTTTTTTACCTTTTTCCTTTCTGCTTCTTCCATGTAATGCTTATGTATCCTCTACAAGTTGTCATAATGTATGCTGCTTTTTATAGTACCATGTAAAAGGGAAAATCCATCCTTATCCGGAAGGAAAACTGAAAGGACAGAGAATACTAAAGAATGGTGAATTGATGTATTTTGTAAAAAAGCTGCCAACATTCTTTCTGTAAACAGGGCAAGAAGGATTGTTATAGAACACATAGTAAGGCAACAGAAAGGAGCATAGAAGCCAAGAAAATAGACTGCACAATAGAAAGGAAGAAAATTAACAATATTGTGCAGCCTGGTGTATTTTATAGCTGTAGTTATTAAAACTGTTTGTTTTGGTGTTATGCTGTATACCTGAAATGTAAGCTGTGAATAAATATGTTTTATTGTTTTAATAGTTGCTGTCACCAGAAGATTTAGTAAATGCTTGTAAGATGCTGGAGTCACTGAAATTACCACTAAGGTAAGAGCTTTACAGATATATTTATAAAGCATGGCACTCACAGGTCAGACCACGGTGCTTGGATGACTTAACATTTTACCTAAAGTAGATTTTTTTTTTTTTTAAAGAGTCATCCTTTGCTGAAAGGATGCTGCTGTATGCATCAAGATCTGTTCTATATTAAAATATGAATTTTTAACTGTGGTCCTCTTTGCTAGGAAGACAATATTCTTTTCACTTTCAATACAGTTTTTTCAGACTAGGAAAAGTTTTAACTAAGCCCAGACACATGCCGTGCTCTCTTCAGTCTCTTCAGATTTTGAAGATGCTTTTAATGTTAAGAACATTTTGCAGAGCTTTTTTTTTTTATTTTATTTTTTTGCTTTTGTAATGTGGTTATAGGTGTGGATGCATTAGAAATGTGACCATAGGTGATGTGAACAGGGTTTTTAGTTACTTTGACACTCTCTTTTGATATTAGACTTCGGATATTTGACAGTGGTGTAATGGTGATTGAACTCCAGTCTCATAATGAAGAGGAAATGGTAGCTTCTGCTTTAGAGACAGTAAGTGTACTTCATTTCCTTCAGTGTTCTGACTGTGCTGGGGAAATTTAAACACATTAGATATAAAAACTTGAGGTACAGGATTTCCTTTTGAGGTTTTGAAATACAAAATATTCCACTTCCAAATCTTCTAACAGTAATACTTAAATAGCACTTTTCATCTTCAAAGTGCTGTCCAGGCAATAATCTTAGTCATTACTTTCTCCTTAAGGAATAAATCACTTTTCCATCTCCTCTCAAACCGTTAACCTTCAACCTTCCTCCAAATCTTTTGCGCTGTAGGATGAATTTCATGGCATGTATTAAGCACTTAATTTAACAGAAGTGGACTTCAGACACTGTACACAGTGTGTTTGAAGGCAGTGAAAGTAGCTCTGAAATGTTGATACAGACAGTTGTTTGGTTTGGGTGTATTTCATAAAATAGTACGTTGTATGTGTAACATCTTGTACTGAGTTTGCTGCTGTGAAGAGTGCTCAGTTGGAGCGTAGTGCATATAACATTAAGGTAGCTTCATCAGGGAAAAAAAATAGTATAAATTGCTTAGTGTGGTAAACCTTCATGGTCTTGCTACCTCTGAACATTAATTTAAAGTCCTGCTATCCCATTATTTGATGCATTTTCCTGTGTCTTTCAGTGGGATGTAATTTTTTGATTTTTGTAAAGTTGAGGAAAGAAAAAAAAAAAGTAGAGCTATCATCAGACACGTTCTCATTTGATACATGAGGTAGACTCTTCAATGCTTTCTCTCATCAGGAAGATTTTTAGATAAGAAAAATATATGTAGCCATCTAAAAGATTCTGTCCTAAATTGTCAAAACTAAAATGCTTAAATCTTTCAATATATGGTAATCCTTTCAGTTTATTTTCTTATGTTTGCAGAAAAATACCTAGTCCATTTTAGGCTTTTTTTCTGATTATTTTTGGTTTCTAATTAATTTGTTGCCTTCAGTAAGAGTGCTTATCTGTTTGAAAGGAAAAGAAAAACCTTTTCTTGATAACAAATGAAGTCAAGTGCAAAAAGCAATGGATGGTGGATTTATTACTGAAGTGCCTTTTTTTTCTTTTATTTTCATAATGTGATACTTTGACTCCATAGAAAAATGTAAGGGAGAGGCTTTGAATGAGGAATGCTGGCCCATAAGGGAAAGGGAAGATGAGATCAGACTTGTGGCCAAAAACACCCTATACTTAATGTATAATGTACAGTAACGTGAAACTTCGGAGAAGAGGCGAAAGGAAGTCACAGGGTTTCAGACAGGAGAGAGATGTGATTTTGAATGGCTGGTGAAGACAGGAAATGACATGGAAGTCAAAGGAACCCAAAGTCACCCTTGATGAGAGTAGTGGTTTGGGAAGGAAAGGTAATTAATCAGCCATAGGCATACTAGATTGTATACCTGCCTTCTGTTACTCAGACTTGATCACTTAGCTTCATAAAATCTCAAGTTAGGACTAATTTAATCTGAGTTTCTGTAAAAAGACTACTGCTGAGAATGATGCAGAACAGACCCCTCCCCACCAGTTATGTGGGAAGCAGGAAATAGCAACTACATCTGGATTTACAAGCTTGCTTGAATCTGAAGCAATGGAGAAATAGAAGAATTATTAATTTGTAGCATAATAAAACATGTTTATCTGGGAAATTCAATGCAGTAATAAGTCTAGACTTCATCTCTAATATTTTAAGCATCCACATGTCCAACCTGTGTAAGAAGGTTTCATTTTAGCATGTATTAACTAGGGTGGTTGAGACAATGAGGCCAAAGTTTTGAGTCCCAAGACTGAACCTATCTTTTGTGTCAACTGAATGTGATGGTGGCTTTTACTGACCCCTCTTGTATGCCATAATATAGGGTGGAATACTAAGGTTTGGGGATTTTTCTATAGGCAGTGGGCATATTTTAAATCCCATTAAACTCAAATTCTCCACTTCTATCTGAGGTGACTTAAATTTCTAAATCGATGGCCTGCCCTGAACAGGTCTTTTATTTCCTCACTTAGGCTTCACTGTTTGCAGAATCACTTAGTATAACTGGGCTGTGTAAATACTGATTGTGACAGTATACTGCTGTCTGAGCTATTCTAATTTTTCCGTTCATTTTGGCCCAAAGGCATCTTTTAAAAAAATCCAAAGGAAGGAGTACCATGTGATTTTTATTTATTTATTTATTTTAACAGATTTAACTCTTTTCTACATTCCTTTTTTGTACTTGGTAGTTTTCCCAGGACACAGAAGAGGTATTTTTAAGGAGAAATACTCATATGTGCTTTTTAAAATGCAAACAAACTAGTTGTCTTTACAAGGGATTTGCTACCTATTTGTTACTTCACAAGGCTAGATCTGATTCAGTAGCTGAGAGAAGTTCATTGTTCTTTTAATGCTGTAGTTTGTTTAGTTGTGTATTTGGTTTTTGACAGGTATCTGAAAAGGGTTCTCTCACAGCTGATGAATTTGCTAAGCTGGTGGGGATGTCTGTTCTCTTAGCCAAAGAAAGGTAAGCAATATTTGCTGTGTTTAATACCTTCATTATCATGTTGTTCTCAAGTAATACAGCACGTCTTTTGCTTTCTCTAGGCTGCTTCTTGCTGAAAAGATGGGCCATCTTTGCAGAGATGATTCAGTAGAAGGCTTGAGATTCTACCCAAATCTATTTCTGACCCAAAGCTAATGTAGTTTGTGTACAATTTGTTACGTAACAGTGGAACAAGAGAGCAGAGGGGAGAACCCTTCCAACAACTGACTTTAAAATTCTTATTTTGTTAGCCAACTGCAACGGTGATGAACATTGCAATGCTTTACAGTTCTCAGGTATTTCAAGTGCTGAATCCTTTTACGTGGAGCTGAGAGGAAATAGGAATCACTAAGTCAGAAGCATGTTAATTGTTTCAAGCCAGCTAGCTCATCTTTCAAGTTTTATTTGATGTGCTCTGTAGTTTCTCATTTCAAGAGAAGACAGATGAAGATTCCACACAAGTGAAAGTGGAGAGAATATCCCTGTAGTCTGCCGCGAGGGTTGGCACCCAGAAGACAGGTTACTGCATACTCCAGTTTGTTTATGTCTAGAGCAACAAAGCTGACAGATGTATCCGTAGTGATAAGAAAAGTGACTTTGCTGTGTACTGAGGTGTAAGGAACAAACTAGTGTAGAATAACCCCTTCTCCCGCAAGTGATGAACAATTTTCTAAGACAGGATCTTGGGATTCTTGTACTTTGAGACGGAGAAAACCTGCTGCAGGAGGGGCTGATGTATGTTAATGTGAATCTAGAAAACAAGTGTTTATTTTTGTCATGTCTTACACTAATATCTCAGATAGAAGCATTGTTAGCAGAGATTTCCTCCCTTGTCTTTCCTTGCCATCTTCCTTCCTGTCTCATTATGTTGCACTTTGGGTGCCCTTTCTCTGTCCTCTCTTTATGCAGCAGAGTGGAGTAGCCTCCTGTCGCTTTACCTGTCACTCTCCTGTCACTACTCTGTGCTTTAATGTGCTTGGTTTTTGTCTTTTACTTCTACAAAAGATAATTTGTTTGTTTCATCGGCCTATTATCTGTTTTGGAGAGACATTTGCTTATATGTCATATGTAAAAATTAATATGCTTTCAATATTGAAGGGAGGAAGAAGACATTCACCCTGTATTTAATAATCACGAGGTATATTGTTTGGTGTTCCTCACCCTGTGTTCACACTGAATGCAATTTGATAGTCTCAGTTTTCATAACTCCAGTGGAGTTGTTACATTACTTGAAGATCTGTTGTCATGGTAATAACGGAAAGTGGATGTTTATGATCCAAGTCACTTCAATTTTTGGTGTTTTGAAATGACCAGTTTTAAGAAACAACAAAATTCGTTCAAGGTATGGGCAAGGACAACATACAGGTAACTGCACTGTGGTTGTAACGGCCAAATTGACATTACAAAAAAGGAGAAGGCGGCTTTTAAGAGCCTGAAAAATATTTTCAGAACTATTTCAGTGTTAACATAGCTTAGAAAAGGGTTACGAGCCTGCCCATAAGGAGTTCAGTGCAGAGATCCCTACAGTGGTGATGCTTGAGGTTCGTAGGATGCTCATTTAGATCCAGAGAATTGTGTCCTCTTATCCTTGTCACAAGCAAACTTTTATGCAGTGCTTTCTTTAGGGCAGTTTTCCTCTGTTTCATGAAGGTGCTAAAACTAATGTATTTGACATAGCTGAAGGAACCAGTTCCACACTATTCTTACTGTGTTAAGCATCTAGTATCATCTCTTCAGGAGCCTTACAGCTTGCTGCTTTTCTTCATCCTCCCCACAACCCACAGAAAAGATCTATGTGAGGTACGCCAAGCATGGAGCATCTACGGAGGGACTGAAAAGTGAGGAATTCGGAAGCAAAAAGCTGGTCTGTGACAACTGTTTCTTTTGCCCAAAAGCCAGACCTGTCAAGGGAGACCAGTGGTTTATGGGCCTGAACCTCTCCCCACAAGGGGGCATGTCTTCTGCTGAAAGAACAAAACCAGAAAGGAAATGCCAAGGGCAAACTCCCAGCCTCCATTGCTCCAACCCTGAGCATTTCATTATCTTAATTAAGCAATAACAACACAGCCTATTTAGAATGATGGTACCTTCTTGACCTTTTCTTTCCCAAGATTTTTCCTTGACTTTTTTTTTTTCTACAGGGAAGAAATCTATAGGGTAAATTGTATAGCTGATTTAGAATTTAAACATACACATGAGAAAATGGGTACTAGAAAGTAATAAAAATTAAAAGATTTTCTTAAATAGACTGTTCTGTCGGGTTTTTTCTTCCTAAATGTTTTGGGCAGCTTTAAAATCTTTACACATCAAAATCTTGTGGTTCTGTGGGGCAGGTTTTTAAAGCACATCATATTTTTGCTGTCTCGGTTTGTACCTAAAAGGGTACAAGATAGTTTTGATTTAAAACAAAAAAGGCAGAATTAAATGTAATTAGAATGCCCTGGTTCTGTTGCTGAGTAGCCTGTGACCCATCCCAGCCAGAACCGCAAAACTATCGATCTCTACACAAGCACCAGTTTCATGAGGGAACCAGTCTGAGTCCGAGGCAGGTGTATATCCTGTGCTAGTGTTGGAACATCATTTGACACGTGTTTTCCCAGCTGAAAGACAACAGAAATCATATATCTGATACCATACTGAGAGCCAGCTGTTGGGTGAACAAATGGAGTGACACATTTATGGGTGTGTGGTATCATGGCAGTACATCACACTGTCCTAAACTGTCATTGCCCAGTCCTCTTTCCATTGGTACAACCAGCAAAAAATCTATTTATTGTATTAAAGCAGGATTATAGGAGAGAGGAAAACAGGAATTGCCATTCTCACAGATCTTTCTAGTTTAATACAGAAGGTGCCCATATGAACCTTTCATGTTTTGATTATTCCTAGAATATTTGTATCATGACACACGAACATTATCTCATTTTGCCAGGGCTGCCCAATTACACAGTCTTTTGAACAGAGGTTTGGAGCAGAGGTCTGTTCAAAAAGTACTTGTTTTTTTATGGAGCAGTCTTAAATGATGATTATGTTTTTCATTTGAAAACACAGACCTTTTTATACCTCTGACAGGAAAAGAATGCTGCTCAGGAATCTGTACATCTTTTCCATTTCTCCTTTGCCCTTGTTTTCAGGAAAATTGTATTCAGCCTATGGAAACATGGATCTAATCTGAACCATATTTCTGAAGTGCAAACCTTTTTTTCTCTGAAAAGATATATCTGTATGTATGTGTACTTGGAAGTCTTCAGAAGTGTATCTTTAATAATTGCTACTAGCTGCATATTGATTAGCTAAACTTTCCGATGCTCTGTTCTTCTAACAGGAATTTTACAGTTTGTCCAAAGGGCCTGACTGTGCTTCTTGTAAAATTAGGGGAAGTAATTTTGGGAAATTTGGGAAAGTCACCAAATTCATTGGGACAGTAGTGGGAGACAGCGGAGTCCTGTTGCCGACAGGAGAAGTTCCTGCTTCCTCAACCTGGGGAGGCTTGCATTTGCAACTGGACAGTTCTTTCAAAATCCATACTGAAAAGGCAGGAATGGCTAACTCAAAACTACTTGTGGATTTGATACGAAACCATTGTTTTCTTTGGGAGGAACCCACTCCAAAGTTGTTTTTTTCTGAGCTAGATTCACAAATCTGATAATTGTGTTGCTTCTATTCTAGCAGTTCCCATTTCATCCTAATTTTCGGTGCTTCAGGCATTCACATGACAGGCAAGACACTCTAGTTCCAGGTCATCTTCTGCTGGGAAGACTTCAATTATCATTGTGTTCTCCCAAGAATGAGCTGCAAGTACTCATGCAAAGAGGATATTCTGGGCATGTCTGTTGGCAACGTTTGTCTTCATTTTAAGGAAAGACTTAAATACTTTTTGGAGCAGAGGCCCAAGTGTCATACCTCCCAGGTAGTTGTCCTGGCCAGCAGGCTTGAGAATCACTTTTCTCTGTGGTTTAGAATTAAAGTATTACTCAAATACTTAAAAAAACCAACACCAAAACACAAAAACTTTGGGAATGAGTAAGGAAACCTCAGTTTCAGCAAACCCCATAGCCTGCTAGTTAGCACACGCTCGTGAGAGGTAGACCTGACAGAAACCACCCTGCTTCATATCCCTGCTCCAGACCAAAAAACAGGTACGATCTGGAGCGTGAATGCCATGACTTCAAATTCTCCTTGATGAAAAAGCACTGATTAAACCCTGCTCTGCCACGCTCACAGCAATGACAGACAGCAAGTTCAGGGTAAAGCGCTGGTACTGCTGGAATAGTCACAGCATTTTTGTGAAGAATGTAGTCCTGCTCTGAGCAGAAGGCTCAGACTATTTAGCCATTTTGCATTTTTTTGTTTGGTTCCAAGTATTTTATGTACTTGGAGGGTTTCACTTAGCTGATAATTCATCATCAAAATGATCTTGGGGAGTAAGCAAAAGAGGGGACTGATATAATCTGAATACTGTTTCACTGTATTTTTGAAGTCAACAGTCAAACAAATTGGTGCTCCTGTGTCCCTTGCTTCGTACATGCAGAAGACTCCCAGAAACTCAAAGACTGGACTTGTTATTTTCTTTTAGCCAAAAAATCTGCAGGAGGATACATGCTGTGTGAAGTACTATCTTTTTGCAAAGAACAATAAAGGCAGCACAGTTGCACAGAATAAATTTGTGTCTGTTGCTGCTATGGCATTTGTGCTATGGCTATTTAATGATTCTCTTCATGTAAGTAGAATTCTTTTCAAATGTTGCCTAAATATAACAGTATTTGACACAGTATATGAGAAACGTCTGTTCTTTCAGCCAGACTCAGCAGTTGTATGTGTGTGGCATAATGCCCTTGAGTTTCACTTCACATCGGATGGAGAATTTGAGGTGTGTCCTTAAATTGCAAAAATACTCTGGTTTGATCCACCCATTAAATGAGAATGGCAAAACTCCCACCAATAATTACAACCTTTGTTGTAATTATCAAACGCTGGCTAGTTAACAGCTCTGAAAATGGATGTATTGGATATGGCTGAGCTCTGACAGCAAGAAGGAAGAGCTTAAAAGACATTCTGGAATAAGATCACAAAATGTTTTGGTCTCTTCAATAGAAATACCAAACTAGGCACAACTGTTGCAAAATGACTATTTCTGATCTTTCTGCATTCCTATTGTTTTTTCCACAGTGTTTTGGGAAAGCCCAAGATAAGGATAATTTTTTTTTTCCACTGGGACTCTATTTATAGGTTACAAGGCCAGAAGAGACTATTATGACCATCTCGCTTGACCTCTCGGGTAACAGAAGCTGTAGGCTTTCCTTTACTTAATTTGTGTTTGAAGTAGAACTCCTCTTTTAGGAACAACAAGAGATTGCAACT